CTAAATGCCAAAGTGTGTATTGATTAAGCAATGACTACATATATATATATATGGTAAAAAAATTGTTTTTAAAAGTAACATGTCTTGTCTATTATCATGTTTATAAAACTATATTTTCATGGTCTATAATGTAAATGGATATTATTTGTAAAAAAAAACCATTTTTGATGTGTGTGGAATGTCAAATATCTTGTGAAACCAATTGATATATAAATAGCTATATAGGTAATTTAGCTCTTATAAATGTGTTATTTAATTTTTTTAACTGAACATGCTGAATGTTCATTTACTATTTTCTATTAAATTGCAGGTGTTTGTTTATTTTACCATTTTCTGCATGCTAAGAAAAAAAATCTCAAAATTCAGACCGGTTTTTAATTTTCTCAAACATAAACTGTATTTAAATTTCACTTATCTTAGAGTTCCTGTCATGCCTTAAACTTTACCATGTGCACAGGTTTGTCTGTACTCAGGGTACAGTTTGTGGTGTAAACGTTAACACAGCCATATTTTTCAATTACTTCTGATGAACCTTATCAAAAAATGTTTTCACTCTATTACCACTGAAAGCAAATAATTACCTACAAAACCACAATATTGTTGAGATATCTGTACAATCTTCACTGAAAGTGTAACAAAAGTACGTCATGGGCAACATATCATTTCATGTATTTACTTCAGTCTTCTTATTATATATATGGTCCCTGTTTATACATGTATGGTCCCTTCCTGTCAAAAGCCGAAGGGGGTATCAATTGAGAAGGAAGACATTGTGGCCTGGAAATGAGTGAGCAAACTTGTTTGGAAAATGTGTTTGTAAGCGCACTGTTTACCAGAAAATGCAGCACATAAGTGTGGTACACTTCCACTTATATTATGTACCAAGAGTCAGTCTGCAAAGCCATTAAAGTTATATTTGTTAAATTATAGGGGGTTGATGTTAATAATGAATATGATGACAGCGAGACTGAAATCAGACAGTCATTCACAAGGAGATCTTACCAACTATTTCTGGCAATACGAATACATTTTCAACAGAACTTCAATTCATGTTTAATCGGAATGTGTCGAGATCAGGAAGGACACTATAAATTGGGCTTCATCCAGGCTCTTTGTCTATTACTAATTACTAAAGAAATTAAACTTTTATTGAATGTTAACACATTTTTACTTGTATCATTCTCGTATGTGCGTGTACAAGTTTTAGCTGATATAAATTTCATTAACCCAAATCTGACTTTGAATCTTTTTTTCAGCTTCTGCAGTGCTATAGGATGTGAAGAATGTCATGACTGTGAACTCTTTTTTTCTTCAAATTTAGAGTTATGTTTTTTTTTAACAAAAAGAATAGAACACAAGAAGGTGTAATATGTTGGGATTGCACAGGTACATATATCATGTATATAGAACATGTAGAAAGCAAAGTGAAAACAGGAATCATATTGACCCTTTTGCTATTGTCACAATCATTTTTTTTAATGTTTAAATGACTATATATCATGTATATGGTCATGTATGGCGATTTTGAAATAGCATCAACTTTTAATTTCACAGGAATTCGGGATTGATTGATTATTTTCATGGGAATTCATGATTTGGCATCTACCCCTCTGTAATCTGTTAAAAGATAAATTATTTTAAAAATATTACTGATGGGAATTTATTTAAAACAAAGTTAAATGATATCAGAATCTTCCATGGCATATTTCATGTTGGCTGTATTATCATCCCAAGGTTCACAATCAGCCAAAGAGCCGAATGCTTGAGGGCTGATATTGAACAAGGGATGATAATACATCCGATATGAAAAATGACATGTACATTTGTAATGATCTTTTTATCATATGCTTCAACAATGGAGAAAAATAACAGTTAAATATATTGATCCTATCAAGTGGTTCTCAAGTGCAAGTTCAAAAAGTGAAAAGTTTACGGACCACAGACGCCAAATGTTATACATCGGATATGAATGATATGAAAAATAACATGTGATGATCTTTTCATCATATACTTCAGCAGAAGAAATACAGACAAGAACTATTTTTAAATTTTGAAAAAATTAATTTATTGTATCATTTGCTTTGCATTCTACATAAAATATTTTCTGTTTTCTAATATTTGTTTTGTATCCTACTCCATGTGCTTTATTTTTTATTGTTATATTTTTCACTGAAATCGTACCATTGAGGTGTATTTTCAAGAATTTGCCCAGTGACGTCAAAATGCCATTCGAAAATAACCAGAAGCAGTTGATAAATTTTTCATATCAGTACGATACACACCATATTTCGGAATATATGGAATTTAAGTGAATTTAAAGCTGTTATCATACTGAAAAAATTATAAGTTATTTACTCCAAGTATATGATTGCATCGTTTATCATACTTAAATTCTTCTAATAGTCTGAGTTGTTTATAGTCCGATTTTGTTGCAGGCCGATTTTGTTATGGGCCGAGTTTTCAGGGAGTCCGGAAATTATAACTTATGAGACCAAGGTGACCATATTTCTATACCCCAGTAACTCTTTGACAGTTTGGGTCTGTGTTAGTGATGGCACCTATGCCATCAGATTAAAACTTCTCAATTAAAATAAATCAGCTTTAAATCCATTTGATCAGTAAATTAAACACTAAAAACAAAATCTTACAAACAAGTTGTTTACATTTGTAATTTCTGTCTACATGGGAGATAACCAAGAAAAGGTGTGAAGAAAAACCATAAAAAATGTTTTATTCTTACAGCTTGGGAAGTACCATATTGTCAGTGAGTCACTTTATAAAAAAAAACTGAAATTATTGCCGTATTTACACCACAAATTTCACTTTCAGACAATCTTGTAAATATCAATCAATCAATCGCCTTGATCAATATAATTTCACTTTTTTTATGCATTTGAAATTTCTAAATATTAAAATAAACTTAACTGGGTTTTGCTTTTCATTTTTTTTTGCATTCCTACCTGCAAATAAACTAAGTTGAGAATCAAAAAGATGCATATCCAGGATTTTGAAAAGGGAGGCAAAACTAGGCAACGTTTGGAGTTTATAAATATTAAAATAAACATTTTCGGTTACAGTTAGCGGCAAATTGGTTAACATTTCAAGTTATCATGCGTAATTCGTCAAAATATCCTTATCGTGATTCTTCAGAGGTCTGAAATAATTATCCGTTGTCGTAATTTTTGGAAAGAATTTAACGTGAGTCGTCAAACTAGATGATCAGTCGATTTTGTATCGTCTTAAAGAAAATGTACATTTTATCGTTATGCATCAAATATTACCGTTACCGTCATTTGGCAAGATTTTTTTTACCGTTATTCGCCATGAAGGTACCCCCATTAAGACCCTCTTATAGATAGCCCCATGAGGGACCGTATCAAATGAAACTCAGTTGTTTGTTTATTTTGCTATCTTCTGCAGACCAAAATCCAGGTAGGTTTTTAATTTCTGAAACATAAAATGCATATAACTTTTATGTGTATAGATCCAGCCATGCTTTAGGGTTCATGTGGACCCATTGGCTAAACGATTTGCTGCGTTTTCACCTCAACATTTATTCTTCGTACAGACTCACGTGTGCATCTGGAAAAGTTTTAAGACATAGCATGTTCTAGAATAAATAAAAGTCAAATGCATTTTATTTTTTACAAAATTTAAAAAATGTACTCAGAGTAAATTTTGAGGTGAAAATGCAGCCATTTTAGACAAAGGGTCCACATGAGCGTTAACACTTTCCTGTATGCTTAGTTTTGTCTGTACTCAGAGTAACCACAGCCATATTTGTAAAATAGTTTTCAAGATGGCAATTGATTGAACAGTAGTGTTGTTTTTGCGGAGATAGGAAAAGGTTCAATTCACAATGTCATGAATAATTAGTGTTTGTCCCTCAACCCGTGGTAACCATCCGGATTTCTTTTTTTTTACTATGTAGATGGTGTAACTCTAACTTTACATATTTTTATATAACATGTTAGTCCTAATTACTGGTGCAAATGGATTAAACTGTTAAAAGCAATGTGCTAGTATATAAATTAAGTAAGTAATTCTTATTTAGAGTCGGCAATATGAACACTGGTTTAATAATAAATTTGAATAAGAAGCCAAGTGCACATTTCAGTTAGCATTGAAAGAAGAAAGTGTCCATGCGTACTTGCACCGGATAATTTAACAATGGGACTGACATTACAAATGATAATAGGGTGACTGGGGAGGGGACTGGGGAATAGAAATATGGTCACTCTTGATCTTCTTCCGACCGAATTAAAATCCTTGCCAAAGTTTGGCGTCCGTTTGCCTGTGCGGGATTTACAAGAACGCAGCCTCTTCAGGTCAGAATGGAGGGGATGGATAGGTGTCCTGTTGCACGGCATCATTTCTGTCCCTATATAATATACCCTTATTTCCCAGTGGCAATCAAAATTTCCCCGACCTTCTTTCTTGACGGCCTCCATTGAAGAACCCTACAATTGTATTTATTAGAAAGTTGTTATCATCCTGAACACGCATGAAATATTTGTCATCGGATGTTTATCAACCAACAATCAATCGAATGGATGGATTTCTGGTTGGCTGTTAATTGCGTGTTGCAATAAAGCGAATGCAAAATCCTTAAACACGTTGTAAATTCCAATAATTATTCAAAAGTGATGTTATCCCTACCAGCTCACAGGAAACAGAACAAAATTACCAATAAGATCTTTATTTCAATTCTATAAGGTGTCAATGTGTCCATATTGACCTTCGCTTTTTTTCATTCTTTTAAAGTCCACATTAACGACTCTGTCAAGATGTTCCACCTGTCTCACCGTATGGGAGCGACATCGGATATTGGTACTAGCTAAAGCGGAGAGAGGTTGTAAAAGTGTGTAATCACACAAGTAAGAATTGCATTTTTTAAAGATTTATATAATGATATGTTGGGAATTGTTCTGTTCTCCAGATCATTTAGGAATGTTAGACATCATCGTAAATTAAATTTGGAGATAAAAAAATTCTACACTCTAGTACCGGACAAAACATTAATTGAAAATCATCTTCGACATATGAAGTGCTACACAACTGTTACAAAGTTTTTAGAAAGTATGATTTGTCATATCGTATGTAGGACAAGCTTAATCAGCCACTTATTTTGATCGTCTGGTTGTCGTTATTCAACAGTATACAAAACTGATCCCCCGAAACAGAATATTGAAGAACGCTCATTACCATTTGCCGCAAATTCTCTCATGTTTTGTTCCAATATTTAATTCTACGATACAAGCCTCAGCCTTTCTCCTTGTTTTTCATTATCCACAGACGTATTGGACATGAACTATGTACCTTTTTTTTATTTCTGTATTACAGGTTGCTCTTCCCCTTTTTGACAAAGAAATGTATCTTCTTTCAGAGGTCTGCATTTATCAGATATAGATGTACACATGCTATAGCAATCATTGGAAAAATTCTAATAAAATTCAATCAGATTGAGAAAAAATTATACTATAAATGAAATTGTTTCTAATGTAGTGTTACTAAAGAGCATACTGCAAATATATATAATTTTATATGGTATACGGGTCTGGATTGGGGATCCTTCATTTCTGTAATTTCTTTAATTCTTTAGGTAATTTTTCTCTATTTTTTTCTTACATTTTTTTTACCCTGTTATTTTCTTTTCCTTATTTTGTGGCCGACTTTTCTCTTTTCTTTATTGTTTTGGCCCATTTTTTTCTGCAATATTGACCCTTATTCTCTATTCTGTAAATCCCATCCAGATACTCTAGTACATGTAGCATACATGTCATGTGTTTTTCAGAAAACAGATCACATACGTACAATTAATATTATTCCAATTGTAACCCCGTGGTACGATAAATTCAAATCTTTGAAATAAAACAAACCAAGTTATAAACAAAACAATAATTACATGAAAACATCTACACACAACAAACCGAGCACAACAATTTATCGGAGTCATGCACTCAATGATAAACGTCAAGGTTGTGGATAATGTTAACAATGGTTAATGCTGTACATTTTTATAGATCTGTATTTGGAAATTGGAAAGTTTGTTAAAAATTAAGTGAGTTCCGATATGTAAGTATTATATAATTATGTATTCAGGCATACAGTGATACATGTATATACATATTTATCACTGAAAATAAATGTTAATCGATTGATAAACATAACCAACAATATTCATGCAATATTGATCTGTTCTAAAATTGTTGCACATTGTGTACCGAGGCGCATACAGGGGTTTCGAAAAGGCACACACAATTTGATTTCACGTCATTTAATTCGCATAATGTCTTAAACTTACGTTTGTTCCCTTTCTTTTCTTTCCTTTTTTGTACTCTGCTTGTTCGTTTATGTCCCCTCATAACCATGATAACATATCCATATGTACCATGTGTACCCGTACCAAGTCGAGCACGCAAAATATTGTGTTTTCATATACCTTGAACATGTTGAACAATGCTTTATATATATACACATCGACATACGATTTAAAAAATATCATTTTCAGAAAACTTAACATATCATTAAACTAATCAGCTAGTAAAATGACCTGAATATTTGTAAACAAATAACGTACATTAATAATTATGCCTAATCTGATAATCATAGATCCATATCAGGAAAAGTTAAAATCCTAGGTGTACATCTGTATATTTCTATATCTACAGACACATAACTCGTGTTCATGTTCATGTTTCCTATATAGTTTATAACAATGATAAAGTTGCTATATATATGTGTTTGTTGTAGGACGGCATGATTTCTGATCAGCAGTTTAAGGATGTTTGCTTCTCTCATTTTTGATTTTTTGCCAGATATTCGAAATCCTCTAGTTTCATCCACAATTAGCCAATACAAATTTCGCTTACACCTACTTTTCTTTTCATAATTTTATTACATATCGTTTAAAAAGATATTTTTCAAAATCTTTTAAAATTCTTGTTATTTTTTAAAGTTTATGAAACAAAAAATGTACCAATGTTAAATGTAGGAAAACTATAGAGAGTTTCTTTTCCCGCCAAATTTTCAATGGCTTAAATATCTCAAAAACAATGAGACGGACCTTTCATTTTTTCCTGCTTTTTTAAATTTTCTTTTTTATATACTATCAATTTATAACTATACTTTAAAACGCTTGTTATTTTGAAACAGAGAAGCGAACACCATTAACTGCGATAATTCGTTTTTATTGTTCGAGTAGGAATCTGATGTTCAGTAGTTGTCGTATGTTGATGTGGTTCATAAGTGTTTCTCGTTTTTTATATAGGTTAGACCGTTGGTTTTCCCGTTTGAATGGTTTTACACTTAATAATATATATTTTGTGTTTGCCAAAATTTAAGTTTTAGTGTATTTGATTTTTGTTTTCTTCAACCCTGTATATGATGATTAAAAAAACCGCATGCTTTACATCAAATACTGCTGTGCCGATATATAGTGACACAGACACTTGTCTCTAAATTAAATATCTAAATTTGAGAATAAAAACGGGGAATGCTTCAAAGAGACAACAATCCGACCAAAGAGCAGAAAACAGACCAAGGCCACAAATGGATCTTCAACACAGGGAGAAAATTCCGCATCCGGAGGCGGGCTTCAACTGCATGCCTTAATATAACACAAGGTTACCCAACTCACAATTAATGTATTTGAGAAATGACATTCGGTCGTGAACTTCCGTTATATTTCGATTTTGCGGTTTTCCGTCCCACTAAAACTTGTTATGTTGTAAATCTACATCAAATTATCTTCGCAAAGGTGTACATCATGCCTATATCTGCTGTCGGAATTATTCGAAGCTTACATTGCCTTGGGTGGCATTCTTCCTGCAGACACTGTGTCTGTCTTTACTACATGTACAGCAGAGAATAACTTTAGGACAAACAATCAACAATACGCCATTAACACCCCAATTCACCAAATATCAAACAACATCATGATATTATTTACGAAAATTACTAACGAGGCTCCTGACTTAGAACAGGCACATCAAAATGTGACCAGGTTATATAAAGTTTTTGAGACTGTAACCCTTCTATTTGTAATCTCCATCATTAGATTAAGCGCGGTAAATCTTTATCCGAGCACTTTGTGTATGTCCAAATGGCGTTAGCCGATTCGGTGTTCCTAATGTACTCCATGTCATTATTCTATATGATTCATCATGTTCATGCAAAATTACATTCTTTTGAGAAAAGGATTGCTGTATCTTTTAGAAATTTAACCCTATTTGCATAGAAGTGTTATCATTTATCAGCAAAAAGCTCAGATTTTTGCAATCAAACCAGAAAAAGATAGTACAGGAATTCATACACATTCCTGGCTATTTTGATAATACTGAAATCCCTCTTATTTGTTATGTTTACAAAAAACCTACCCGGAAATATGTGTTTAACTATAGCCAAGCGTGTAAAGATGTAAATATTAGTGACAATACACCTACGTCATGAAATTGCAGTAATTCCGAATACATTTATGGCCCCAGTTCCCATGTTATAACAGGAGGCCTTAACATCGTTCGTGACCCAGAGTTGAAATTATTCCTCAGAAAAGGACCTAAATATCGTCCCCCGTCAATTATTAATTTGCATGAATGTCGTGACATCATTCAAGACTCACTCCGTGCTTACTGCTCAAAATGGATAAAACGAGAAAAAACTGACAAGAAATCCTTAGATTCTTTTTTAATTCAGTAATGAACATATATAGTTGATATACGTATACAAGATTTTAAGGAACATTTTACTCCTAACAACAACCATAATAACCCTATTTCTCGTATCAAACATAAACTAAAAGAACTCGCAAAGGAACTTGTTTTTGTCCCGGCTGATAAGGCTGCTAATGATATAATTATAGTTTGACGTAAATTTTACATTGAGGTTCTGCAAAAGGAAATCACGAATTCACCAACATTCCAACTGACTCCATTTTCGGAAAATGACATCTGTAACAAACATAAACTTTAAGCTACTTCTTTACAAGCAGAATCAAATACAATGAAAGTTCCAACTATGTACTGGTTTCCGAAGCTGCACAAACAGATTTATTTCGTCTTCAAGCCATTGTTCCACTACTAACCTGTCTATTCTACTTACTAGTACACTTGGTACAATCAAAAACCTGGTAATAAATTGTTTAAATAAGGCCTTTGAAAATAGTAGAATAAATTACTTTTGGGGTGTCAAAAAATTTGTTGGAAGTACCTAATAAATTACATGCTTATATTTGTGATTTTGAATCTGTTCAAAGTTTTGATTTTTCTACCCTATATACCACTTTGCCTCATATTCTTATTAAGAAAAAATTCACAAACCTAATTAAATTGGCATTTAAAAAGTCAGAATGCGAATATATATGTTCAAACTCTTTTAGGTCATTTTTTAGTAACAACAAACAAAAGCACTATGTAGATTGGACTGCTTTGATACTATAACTGCCCTTGAATTTTTACTAGGTAACATTTTTGTTCGCTAGGGAGATTCCGTATATCGTCAAGTTATCGGAATTCCAATGGGGACTACCTGGGCACCACTTATTGCGGACCTGTTTTTGTATTGTTATGAGTTACAATTTATGACTAAAATCAACAAAAACCCACCGAAACATCTGATACAAAAAATTAATAACACTTTTAGATATTTGGATGATATATTGACTCTCAATAATGACGACTTAAGTATGTACACTTAACATGCTTAAGGGATTGATCCTGCTGAACTGACTTTAAATAACGCTTATACTAACAATGAACACTGCCCTTTACTGGACTTTGATATCTATATCTTTAACGGGAAACTTAATACCAAAATTTATGATAAAAGAGATGATTTTTCATTTTCTATTGTTAATTATCAATTTTTAGATGGTGACGTTTCCTTGTCACCATCTTATGGTGTTTATATATCTCAACTTGTTCGATTCGCTTGTGTATGTAACAACGCATTAGATTTTAACGAAAGAAATTTCTGTATTACGGAAAAATGATTACACCAGGGTTTTCGATATCACAAACTAGTCAAAACATTTATTAAATTTTATCATCGGTACAAGGACATCATTCGTAAATATAAATCAACATGCAGACATCTTATACGTTCAGGTATTTCACATCCAATCTTTTATGGTAATGTTCTTTAGAAAGCACAAAAATATCGGCATTCACCTCAAAAGCTAACCAAACCTTTCAACAGACTTATTCATAAGGGATATAGTTACGATACTGTTGTCAGGTCATTAAAGATGGCATATTTTCGTATTAATATTTATTCACTCATAGGGTCTTCGCTTCGGAAATAAACACAATTATTCTAAAACCAGTTGTTGGCATGATACGGGTTATGTTCTTCTCATATATTTTATGATGGTATGCTACTAAACCCCTTACGGGAGGGATTGTGCTTGATTTTAATATGATGAAGACATAATCTTTCAATCAGTCTAATTGAGGTCTGGAGCTGGCATGTCAGTAACTGCTAGTAGTCCTTTGTTAATTTATGTATCATTGTCATTTTGCTTAGTTTCTTTTGATATCTGTTCTGACAACGGACTCGGACTTCTTTTCAACTGAGTTTTACTGTGCGTATTGCTGTGTGCTTGTTTTTTTCTACTTTGGTTAGAGGTATAGGGGGAGGGTTTAGATCTCACAAAACATGTTTAACCCCGCCGCATTTTTGCGCTTGTCCTAAGTCAGGAGGCTCTGGCCTATGTTAGTCTTGTATGATTTTTAATTTTAGTTCATTTATATGTTTTGGAGTTAATATGACGTCCATTCTCACTGAACTAGTACACATTTTTGTTTAGGGGCCAGCTGAAGCCCGCCTCCGGGTGCGAGATTTTCTTGCTGTGTTGACCCATTTCCATTCTTAATATTATATAGCCAATAAAAGCAGTAATAAGGGTATCAATTTGATGACAAAAAATAGACACAATTAAGATTTCATTCCAAATCCATAACTACAAAACATCTTATGAAAGTGTTACTGCATCTGGAAATTTTCAGAAAATTACACCTTTCCTGCTTTATCTAAACTAATTGCTCTAAGACTTTTTAGAACAATAGAAAAGATAAAAT